TTTCTCTACCTCAAACCGAAACATTCAGCAAACATCATCTATCGTGAAGCAATCTTTTCCATTAGATCTCTTGATCTAAAATTACAGTAAATTAGCGTATCATTATTATTACTACTTGAACTCGACAAGCATTTCTATCTTTCACTTCTTAGTCTATCTAGCTCTATCTCTACAGACTTTTATTCTGCCTTCAGGTAATAAAAGTTCTGCTTATCTTCATTTATAAATTATAAAAATTATCTTTATCATGTTTTTCTTTATAAAAATTATTAAAACTTATAAAGAAATGAATTCTTCAGTTTTCAAATTCTTTCAGATTTACAGTCTCAACGCTTTAATCTGGACCTCAATAACTTACGAATTTGGACGTTATACGAAGGCAGAATAAAGTCTTACGATGGAGCCATTTTCACAAAAAGAGGCCATGGACGGCAAAGGAATTTCATCTGTTCCCAAGTTGATCGGCGAAAACTATTCAATCTGGGAATCAAAAATGCAATTCTTTCTCGATTCGCGGCAACTACTTGAAGTCTGTCTTCATGAACAACAAACGCCTTTCAATACCGATGTCGTTGCCAAGCACTCTTGTGCCATGTTCCATCTCAGTTCTGTTGTCGATGATTCAATTTATAATTCGATATTTAAATTATCCACCAACTTAACTCCTTACTCCGTCTGGTCAGCCTTAAAACAGAAATACGCTTCTAAATCTATTTTCTCACTCTGCAAAGTCTGGCGACAATGGGATACAATCCACTGCGATCGAGGGATTGTTTCTTACGTGGATCGATGTCTCGATTGTCTAGGAGAATTTAAGACTATTGGGTATGATGTAACGCAAGATCTCTTTGCTGTCTGCATCATTAGTCGAGTTACCACGGTTAAACAAGATCTCATGGAAAATTTGATGCTGGACAAAGAATTGGTTTCCGATCCTTTTCGATTATTGGAAAAATTGCGAACTCTTGCCGTTCATGAGCAAACTCTTGGGAAAAATTCTGATCGAAACAATCAAGCTAGTTCTTCGACTACTGCTTTATCTACAAACTCGAGTTCAAAAGGAAAACGTTCTCAGCGTTCTCAACCAAAGCGTCAATCTTTTTATGAGCATCCTTGCACGCATGGTCATGACTATTCAACTACTCATAGTCAAATCGATTGTTGGTACGATAATCCTTCTAAGCGTCCAAAACGCTTTAATTTCAATATGCCTTCAACAGCCACTCATACGCAACCAGCAAACGTCACTGCCTCTCAGTCTCAGCCTTCTACGAGTAACAAACACACTGAAAATGCTGTTCCATCATTCGGTTACTGTAGTACCATTAAATCACCACTACCCCATGTTAAACTTCCAGCAATTCTAGACTCTGGAGCTAGTAATCACATGCTTAATTCACTCGAATTCTTTGTTGACAGCGAATCTGTTCACATTTTTATTGTTACGGGTGACGGAAAATCTCGAGAAGAATTAATAGCGACTAGACGCGGCACGGCAATGATTCAACTAGCCGATGATAAAATTG